CTAATTTTTCTAATGATCCATTACTTTGCAATGGCATTCTTAATAAATTTCATGAGAATATTTCAGATGAATCAAATCCTTATGTTATATCATGTATTACCTATCCTTATAATGCATTTGATCCTTGTGAAAAACCTGTTCAATACGAAGCACCAGTATTAAGTGAGCTCAATTTTGATTACAATTTGGATGATTTCATACCAACTGCTGTTCATCCTTATCACAAATCCACTTTCAATGTATACTCCAGTCAATGTAAGAAATATGTTCTAAATGAAGTCACATTATTCATAACTTGGGGATATAAAGATCCAACATTATTTCGTGGGGGAGGATAGTGTTGAAAAATATATGGTTCCAATTCTAGATATTAATGATTTCGGTACAAAACCGACATGCTGATTGTATACAATTCCAGGTTAGTGTGTTCCGATTTCGTTTGTTAATTCCAATACTAATGAGCACATTCTAGATACTACAAAGTTTTCATCCAGTACAATGTCGGACAGACTCAGGATGAACTTAACAAGAAGACATACAACCGATTGCAAACACTTATACTTCTATTTAAGCTGTGGTGGATGTGGTGTTTGAATTGACTAATGATACTTTTGTACATGTTGATTATACGATTTCGAATGTTAAATACAGTACATTCGGTTGTGCCTGTGTCTTCTTAATTCAATTGCGTTATTTCTTGGACTCTTAGTTCGTGCTATAATTCAAATAATTCGAAACATTATAAATGAGCGATTAAATACTTACTCAATATGTCTTTTTGGTTATAGTAAATTTATCGTGTCCTGCAAATAACACAATGACATATTCACAAGTAATAGTCTACGAACGCAGTCGCATTCTGATACGTGGCAGATTGTTACGAATAGGCATATCCTAGTGTAGTGAACAGAACACGAGTGAAGACAATCGAATGTATTTAGCACAAAAATCACAGACTATCTCAATAAAACCTGAAAACCATATAATAAATCGGCAATTTGCAAAATATCAATGCATCATATCAAACTGTACTGTTCCTGTTGCAAACACCAATCCATTGTCTCCCATTCCATTGTTCATACGTTTTCTTACAAATTCCATTGTGTTCTCGCTCTTTCTTTATCTTCCCCTCATCTGCTGCCAGACATTACGTTTTAACTCGCGTCATATACTACTCATATCAATATAAGCAGCTCACACTACACTAGTAATGCTAATTATGTTACGAAAAGAATACTTCATATCATTCATTTTTAGAAGTTTGGTATTCAACAGACACTTTGAATAGTAATAATTGTTCACCCGTTTTGGAATAAGATATCTGATTGGGCATGTGCTTCGAATGCATTAATTCTGTTCTGTTGATTAACTTGTGCTCAGTTGTCTGATTAATTCGAATGCCTTTTATGTGAATGTTCGAATATTCCTGCTTGTCCACCCATCTACCGATCTATCAATCTGTTAATTATATCCCACTGTTATATTGATGTATAAATACTTAAGATACGCTGATTAATTGACACTGGACAGTTTGACTCCATTCCAATACAATATAGATCGAACCAACCTAATGCAATTCTTAATCTATTTTACTACGATGCAATTGCTGGATATCCTATTGTTGGTGTCAATATTAATCCAATCCAATTACAAAAAGGTCTAATTCTGGTGTTATACTAATACTGCTATTACTTAGGTCTACGTGTGTCCACTTAGTCCTATCACGCTGGTTAATTCAATTACTTGATTATATATTCAGTAACATTTGTGTTCTAGTTGTTGCTTGATTTATTTGTCCTTAGTCATCGAGTATAAAAATAACGTATTTAGCAAGAATCCATGACGGAAGTCCAGCATTTGGTTTTATGAATCTCTGCTACCCTCATATTATGCCAGCTTCTCCTGCTTATCTGGGTGCTCTAGTTTTACTTAATTAACATACGGTAAACATAGTTGACAAAAAACACTTCCACCTAAAATTACCAAGGAGTTCTATGTATAATTAACCGTAATACAAACTGACTTAGTAGTCTAACATCTTACGATTGATTCCAAAAACTAAAAATGGACGTACTATTTTTGTATAATAAGTAATATTAACATCGACTGAGGATATTAGTTGAAGCCAGATATGGACGGTGATGTTCAATCACGTGGAACGTTAGTATCAAAGATAATAACCAACCAATGAATAAAACTGCCACGATATTTGAGAAAATACAACTTTTTGTTGAGTATAAATATTTACTAAGAAACCTTCATTATACCCATAACATGATGTTCTGCGTTCAATGTAATTGTTTCTAGTAATTATAACGGTCTGTAGAAAAAGCAAGCCATGAAATCTTAGCCGATGCACCGTTAATACAATGACGCAAAAGCTCGAAAATGCAAATTGATAGATGCGTCTGCATTTGCTCCAAGGGAGTTAACAGCCAATTTTATTGGTGGGTTTGTGTTCACTGAGCTAGGTAGTACCCTCAAGTGTATTAGTTATACGATATCCCATACTGTATTGTAAGTATACTTGTATTGTGTATTATATAAACCGTCTTCCAAAACACTCACCTTTCTTATAATTGACATATTTCTCCATGAGTCATTGACATTATTATGAATACTTCTTACTGTGTTGACTGGTTACTTTTTCTACGAACGACCCCCATAATCATGAAACTTAGTCCTGTCTTCAGACTATAAGGAGCACTTTCCCAAGTTGTTTTTGTGGCGAATGACTAATGCATTTACTGTACAGCTAAATATTTTATATCGTGTTCAAACTTATCATAATAATACAATATCATACTATGTATTTCGAATTAGAGTTCTTTATTGTGTTTTGTCGAAGTTCTAAACTTATCGGGATCGGTTTTATTTCTTTATATTATTTAGAACTAAAAAAATTGTTTGGCTTGACTGTTCTTCAGCTTTTGTTGTAATTGAGGGTCATTAACTCATTATTCTCACTGTATTTGTATTGATAGTATTATATTCACGACAATTGAGACGCTTCCGTACTATTTGGATTTATTTTGAATCAATGGCAGTTCGCCATATATATGCGTTTCACATATCAGCGCGTCGTTTCTATTGATTGGTATATCCGTACTAGAAGTCTCACCAGCCCTAATCAGTCTGTGGCTGGTAAAAATTTGGCAAATATACAACCCTTCCGCTTGTGGTCTATTAAGTCGCACCACCCACGTCGGTGTTGTGTTCATCTAATCAGAGGGTAGAAATACCAAGCAACACTCGTATTGCTTTACGATGACAAAATATGAGCTATGAGAGTAGAATACATGAGTAGGTTTTAAGTATTCAACTATGTCTTTACAGCACCGTCCGCTTATGATGGAAATACTGAGGGAGCAAACCGGAAGTCCAGTGTAGAGTGCTAGGCAGAGATAGCAAATCTATTAATGAGGTTGCGATTCTCAACATAGTACACCAATCTGCAAATATACTATTGTTTACTTCAATATACAATACTATCCCATAGGGGGATAGTTGAGGATAACTTAGGAACAGAATGATCAGGATAGAGGATTAAGTCATTAACTGTTGTTCTGGAAATGAAAGATTTCTTACTGGAGTTCGCTCAACTTGAACTTGTATACACTCATATCAAGTCATATGGTGATCATGATCGTTAACTGATATAACCCTTCCCCAGGTTCACAATGCGTTTTCCTACAATCTCAGAAGTACCTAGTACCATGTCCTATTATATAGATCAACGCTATAAAAATCCACACTGGGTAAATTGATGCTTAGTTAGTGACTTATCATACACCATATCCTATTAGTCTGATTAGCAGTAAGTTCAAGAACTCACATTTTTCTCGGATATTTCCTTGGTTTAATTTAACACGACAGAGAAGTTTCGATCGAAATCTTTAGCCTGGGTGCGTACTATTATTCAACCAAACTTTATTTTCGACACAGCATTTTTTAGCGAACTACTAGGCATTTAGTAGTCCTTTAATATACTAGATAATTCAGATTGTAATACACGTCATGTAAGTTAGTGAAATCTTGTCAAGCCGGTCAAATTACTTAAATTTTCTTTCAAACTAGTTAGAAAAATAAAGCCACATGAAAACATTGATGTACTCTAAAATGCGATTAAAAATACAATAGGGATCAATCAAACTAGTTATGTAAAATATATACACTGAACAGAAATCCAGGGTGTATATATTAATAATTCGCTTGTGACAACTCTCCAAACTAGCTGACCTTGAGTAAGGATCATTAAATCCGTAATCACAAGATGTCATAATTGCACGAAACTAAAGTAACTAATGATATTTCAGTTTAATAAATTAGCATATTCCCTACTCATTACTAGGTTTCTGAGATAGTCTGTATGCAATCAACTTTGAACCATTTTATAGTGTATTTTTAAATTGTTGATATCCATTGACTTGAATGCATGAATTTTTTTATTCCAAACGCTCTATAAAAATTTACACGAATTTATACCAAACAAGGTATCTACTTATAGTACATTAATATGTCATAACTCTTTCTGAATCATGACTGAATACACAGAGTCTTCATCTATCACGTTGAGTGTTTTGAAATTCATTAAACTTTACTTTTAATTCCAATGTTTAAATACTATAGGATAAGGACGAGAAATAACTGTTCCAATCCTTTTCGTTTGTAATCCCATATGCATTTTATCATCGCACATGAAAGCAGTCCCGCCAAAGTTGAAATGCATTTAACTTATTATGAGTCTCTAACTTACAGTTACAGAGAAAATCTGATCACCAAGCACTTAAGGATTTTCAAACTGAGTCCTTATATCGTGAACAACTGCTGAAAATATAATTACCATATATCAACAGGTAGTCCTTATCCCTAAACTATGTCTCCTCATTTTCATTTCCACAAAAACGCTGTCGAGTCAAATGATCGCAAACCCAATACTTGAACCAAGAATATGAAAGATAAAAATGGAAATAAATAATTAGTAACAAGAAGTGAACGTAGAATTCGATCAATTTAAATCTGAAATATTTCAAATACAAATAAAAATAATTTCTGCATTTGATGGAAAAACAGCAGCTTTTAAAAATGGTAGAGAAAATATATTTCCTAGAAAGCAAGTACTTCTTTCTCTATAAAAATTATGGATAAGATGAGCGATTGTAATGAAATTAACACCAATAAGAATAGCCTACAGCAAATTTAATCACCTGCGTTTTTTGTCTGAGAAATGACATGTTGTAAAGACTGTGGGAGTATAGCGCGTAATTCTTCTTTACATACTGCTCTCGTCAATTCAAGTAGATCTTTCTCTTTCAAAGAATATTTCGACTGTACCTTGTTACAACCGCCTTCTACGTGTACCGATGAATCCTCACTTACACTCAATAAAAGTGATAGTATTTGGGTCAAACAGAGTCGACGCAGTAAACGTATAATATCGTTCTCGTCGTCAGTACAAAACTGAGGAACTACATGACTGGTATTTTTATCAGATGAATGAGAGTTGTCAGAACTCGTTGACGATAACTGACCGTAATCTCCCACCAACCTTTCTAAAACTTCTTGATTGTTTGTGTGCCCCTTTTTGACAGTAACATGCGAATTCCCTTGTGTGTTTACGGAGCTCGATTGACGATTACACATCTTATTATGCTTCTTACCAGCAAGATGAGCCTCTTTGGCCTGAGCAGACAACAAAGTTATTTGACAAGCATCGCAAAACAAGTGTGACTGAACATTCTCGCTACCTGTATTGACATCGGAACTAAAACGAGCTTTGGCAGCCAATTTGGATTTCTGCCCATGTTCTGCAGAAGAAAAATGTTCAAGGAACTGTTGTTTTGATACAAACCACTTGTCACACAAACTACAAAAACATAAATCATCTGACGGCGTACTTTTCAATGGTCTATTATCATCTTGACTTGAACAAGGTAAGGATACATCCTTCCCCAAACTCGGTGAGCTTATTGAGCTACTACAATCCACATTTAATATATGATGCCAAAATTCGTCATCTGTCTCGAAAATAACACGACATCCAAAACATCTTCGAGCTTCTGCTACATCCGTCATTTCTAGTGCTAAAATGAATAGGAATAAAAGGGAATTACAACCCTCTACAATTGGAACATAAAGTCTTAAGAACGCTTAATATCAATATTTAATTACAAACTCTCACCGATGTAAATGGAATTCAACATGTAATTATCTTTATTTGCCTGGTTTATCCACTTGTAGCTTTTTTTAATATTTTTAATGTATCTATGATTATATGCACATATTTTACTGACTATAAAATGGCGAGCCTGTTAAATTGTTTAATGTGATTACTTTTAATAAGGCAATGAAAACCAACCAGCTACTGCATATGTAGAAAACTTCAGGATATTTATTTGGCATCCATCATAACATGACGGGTCAATCGACTACTAAGGTATCGAAATGAGTTTACTCGAAAGTTGATTTGACTGAGGCCGTTGAACAGTTTATATTCCACATGTAATCTGTGATATAAGAGATATCACAAGACAACAGCTGGTTGCATATTAGATCATTAATACTGTAATTTAACAAAATCATGACTACAAGTTGCTCCTCGAATAAAACTAATCTAGTACGAATAAATAGGATCATTCTAAATAGAGGACCCAAAATTATGGTGAACTCAGCTATCACGAGCCAAATCACAAATATAAGTTTCATATTCTATCCAAAGGCCTGGGCTGACCAAAATGTCCACTTTAAGCAGAATAATAACGCTGCCCAAGAACGCTTGACAGAGCATGTATCTTGCTTTAATTAATCCCGAACGTACATTTAGATGATTTTGTTTATATCGACTGTCTGACTAATTTAATAAGAATATGTGTAGTGTTTGGAACCGTAAACTATCAACTGTTATCTCCGATTACCAGATCGTCTTAATTCCACCCTCGTGTTGTTTTTTATTGTTGTATATTGCCTTCGTTATTAAATGTAAGTGCATTCTATGTGCTTACTGAGTTGCAGACTACTCTTTTCTCTTCCAAATAACCTCACATAATGCTCTTCACACTTCCCCAGGTACCTTTAGGCTAAACAAAAACCTACCATAGGCTGAACGTTATATTTGTGATGTTTCAGTGATTAAAGAAGTTATCGGTTGGTAGACAACAAAAAGTTCCTTTAATCGTCTAGGCAATCAATAAATTACAGGCAGCAGTACATGTTACATCGAAAGTGGCGATTAGCTCATCATTTAGTTTATACTCACAACGACTAAGGACCTAATGTAAGATACAGCTAAAATGCTATGAACCTCCACCGTTTTGTTGAATTTAAAAGTAGTATGGCGCTATGAGCCTCTAAGGGCACTTTTACAAAAAAATACTAGCATGTACGGCACAGGTAAGACCTAAAATATGAAAAGTGTGTAGGCCAAAACTGTTTCAAAGTAAACTGGAAACCCCCGACACGTATTTAGAGAACTGCTATATGTGATTCCCGTGACGATATTAATGAGGAATGAATTAGTTCGAAAATTAAGTCGCTCTATCATAAACTATAAGACTTCAGGCGAGAGAATAATTTATGGACGAATCAGATTTAAGATAACATGTTTCGAATTTTGGCGCAAAATTAATTCATCCATTTGGTTAAATAGAGTTTGGCATTATAGCTGATGTCAGTAAGTGATTATAACTTGAGATCTAATTCCTAACCCTAACTATCAAATGTAAATATAAATCTTAACTCCTCATACTGGTTTATAATCCTGATTTAGCCGTAGTATGTACGTGAACATTCTCAAGGACTTTTCAGCGTCGCTCAAATGTCGTCCATTAATTAGTTTCACCAGACTTCACGGTAGTACTCAGGATGCCAGAAAACCTTCAACTTAATACATTTTCCCCTTGGAATAGTCAAAATAGCTTACAGGACATAGGCTAACGGAAAAGTCAAGAAGATATAAATATTTCATACTATAATCCTTGATCTTGGATTAAAAAGGTGGACATCTGAAGTAACACTGATTGTTAAATAACTCCGCGTTTACCCTGCAGTTAGCTCTACGTCTTACATAGTGATTGGCCTAGTCTCACAAGCGTTTAATCACCCAAAATTATGATCGTCCCATACAACTTATTGCAAAAAAACTTACCGATAACTTGCACAGGGATACCTGAGTATTCGGATGAAAGAATACATACCAAAGTGAGGCATAGAAAAACTAATGTAAGTCCTTGATAATATAATCACAAAACAAATCTGAGGTCAATTTATAATATGCATATTAGTAAAGTGATCGTTAGATCTAATTACCAAGATATCGAGCAATAACAACTGGTTTTTCATTGTAATCGAACCAGTTACTCAAGACTCCCTAAACCTCAATAATGCTTACCCCACCTCCCAACACTTCCAGATTTGAAGGAAAACTGATATAATAACTACTTCCTTGGGTCCCTAGAGAAATTAACGAGTCTTCGACCCTGAAACGCTTGCGCGCCTATAAGCAATACATTCAACATTTCAGTCTTCATAGATTGAAATCATCAGTCAGTTGAAACTAGACCACCATGGAAAACTTGAAGGCACTGTACAGCCGTTTCGTTCAATTATGGGACTCCTCAGCAGTGCTCATACACGATCCCACACCCCACGGGGTTCGAACCCAGGACCCACTGGTTTCGCGCGCGAACACTTGACCATTAGGGTGGAAGGTTAATCGATCTATATTAATCCTCGCAATTCATGATGCCGTAAAGATCCAACCTCACTTTTAATGCATCATCAGTTGCCGATATCATGTGTTCTGGCGAATATTTCCAGTAATTTACTGCTCAGTGAGAGAAGCGGAACTCCGGACGTAAACGATTTGACCTCGGCTTGTGAACTTCCTTAGAATGTGATCTCAGATAATCAGTGTGAAATGAGAGGAAGAAAATGAGGCGTACTAATACCAAGATCGTTGTCCAGTGTACGGTTAACCAGTATTTGATCATCTTGTAACCCGCGGTTGGACAATGGGAATAGGTTGAGGCGTCTCAGTAAGTCTTCATAAGGTGGGCAAGCGAGACTTTTCGCAATTTTGGCTGTTTGCTCTAAGACTCGTTTCTGCATGTTCGCTTCACATTTGAAGCAAGGACTCGCCTTCTAGATAGCATACTCCAACTGCTGCCTCACTAAAGTCATGTATAATACCCTAAATATTTATTCGTCCATATAATAAAATGATTTACAAGTGGCACATGCGATCCTGAAGACTTTATCAGAAGTAACCTTGCAGTTTCCAGCAGTTTCAAGGTCTTTACTTGCTGCGACTCTTAGATCACTACAGTCCATTATTTATGGTTAAGACAACTCGTGTGGGAGTCATGTCATGCGATTGTGCAGAAGGAAATTCGACGTGAATAGGATTTCCTTCGAAATACGCTATAGTAAGGTTCTTGATAGGTACTGGTTCTAGGCATCGAATGAAACGGTCTACTCAGGTTAAAAGATAAGAGTATCCATTGGAATCCGGTAAAGTTCCTACCAAATCCAGATGAACATGGTCGAAACGAGCATCGGGAGTTTTAAATGAGCCTAAGGGAAATTTATTGTGTCTGATAACCTTAGACTTTTGGCAGCTTACACAGGAGCGTGCCCACTCCCTCACGTCTTTATTCATGCCAGGCCAGCAAAACCGTTCTGCTATAAACTTGATGGTTGCACGAACACCTGGATGTGAAAGTTTGTGAAACATATTGAAGACATTGTGTCGATAATGCTTCGGCACGATTGGGCGAACCCTACCTGTAGATGTGTCACAAAGTAAAATTTCCTTACCTGTTCCCATCTGTTTGATGAGTAGTTTGAGAGTTGTAGACGATAACTCGTGCTGAAGATCAGTGTCTTCGTTTTGAAGCTGGACGAGTTTCAGGAGGTCGATTCCTTGGAAACTGTTAAAGAAAGTTATACGAGACAATGCGTCTGCAACTACATTGTTAGTTCCAGAAAAATGTGTTTCATTTCTGATATAAACTGCGAAAGATGAACTCAAAGTAAGCGGTTTATGGTCAGTAAAATGGGTGAATTTAAGGCCTTCGACATAATGTTAAAAAATGTCGTACAGCACAATACATAGCTAGGAATGCCGTACCGAATGTGCTGTACCTCGATTCGGTGTCTAGCAACTGCCTAGAGAAAAATCCCAAAGGTTGCCAGGGGTGGTTAACCCACTGATTTAAGTCTACCCCGATTACTGAGTTGGATGCATCTACTGCAACACTAACTGATGTGAGATCCATTGTGAATGTTTTGTGTGTGAAAATCCCTCCATGTATGCACTTACAGTTTGTTCCTATTGACTCTCCTAGTTTTACATTTTGTCGCTCTTCTTGATTCCATTTGAGTTGTTAATATCTGTATCTTAATATAGTTTCTATATTTCTTACGCCTTCACTACGTTTCTATGTTTCTTTCTCAACTGAATTTATGTTGTTTTACTTGATATTTAGTCTTGGTGGCAGCCATATTGGTTTGTTCCTCCTTTTGATTGTGTTGTTTGCATTGACTGGATATATGCATTTTTGATTGTGGATTGAAGCATTCTGTGTCATAAAGCAACCAAATATTATCTTTCGAACGAATCTGTGCTTGGTCTATCCAGACAGGGTAGGACGGCATTTTTTGTTGCGACTTGTAATTTCCTCGCATCCTTTATCAAATTCCTTACTTATTGTAATTTAGATTTGATTAATTGAACAATTATTAGTTGGATAGCTGGGTGGTCATATTTGTTTAGGTAACAATGTACATCTAAATTTATGATGAATTATAGAACCGTCATTTTACCCAATCATTTTGTTTTGGTTTCAACCGGGCAAGGACGCGGATCTAACACACCTAGACAGTTATTCTTCAGTCCAAACCTTAGTTTTGATCTTACAGTGAGTGCTTCAGTGACCTGATGTGGAAGCATCGTTGCCTTAGAGATAATTTCCTTAATTGTGGGGAATGCTTTCCGTGCGGTGTCGTCTAGATTGATGGATTCCTCGTTTCCACGAAGTTGGTCGGTTAGCAATTTCATAAGTGACGTGAATCTCAGTATGAACAGTCTATAGAAACTTACAAGGCCGTTAAACATGCGTAATTGCTTGATGGTAGTCGGTTCTGGGTAATCCGGAATGGTCTCCACTTTGATTCTAAGAGGTCGGATGCCTTGCACATTAGGTGTGTCCTAGGAAATCCAGAAAGTCAGTTTTGATTTGGCATTTCTGGATGTCTAAAGTAATGCTATGCTTTTCGAAAACAAGGTCGAAATGCTGGAGATGGGGTTCTCTGTTCGGACTTGCTATCAAGCAATCATCAACATGCTCATGTACGAAGCTGAGACCTCGAAAAACGTCATCTATGAATCTCTGGAAGGTCTGTGCACCGTATCGTAGACCGAAATTAATTAGCCAAAATTCGTAGAGTCCGAAAGGCGTTATGATTGCGGTCTTTGGAATATCGTCAGTAGCCATGGTGATTTGGTTATACGCTTTAACCAAGTCGATTTTTGAAAAGACAGTTGTACCTTTCAAGGTAGATGTCAAATCGTGAATGCGAGGCAACGGGTAACGAACGGAAATGGATTTCACACCCAGTCTTCGAAATTCACCAGTTGGACGCCAATCGTTGCTGTCATTTTTAGGAACTATGTGCAACGGAGATGCCCATGGGCTGTTTGACTGCTTTATGATACCTAAGTTTATCGTATGATTGAATTCGTTTTTCTCCAACCTTAGCTTTTCGAGAGCTAGTCGGCATGATTTAGGGAACACAGGTGGTCCTGTAGTCGTGATGTGATTTGTAACACCGCTGGTTACATATAACAATTTCGGTTTCGACTGGTATATCGAAGAATACTTATCCAGTAGTTGTTGATAGAATGGCTCTATTGTGTGCTTAATTGTGACTGGAGATAATCTACAACCAGAAAAAGAAGTTACACAAACAGATAAATTAGTGTTTCCGTATACTGGCCTACTTCTACGCGTGTCGATGAGGAAATTATACTGCTGTACCAGGTCTATAACATTGATTAGCATAGAAAAATCTGTAACAACGAAAATCCAATGTATGGGTTTGCGTAAGGTTACATTAAGGTAGACGTATCGTTTGACATACGTGGCGATAGGTTTTCTGTTTGTCACCTATGGATTTAAAACCGATTCGTGAAGCCGGTCGTTGGAATTCGATGGAAGAACGTTAACTTCTGCTCCAGTATCGACGAGGTGGCGAACTTTCGTTATCACATCTGTGACGTAAAACAGACGGCTATGTTTAGCAGTTACGGTGGCCGTTAACGCGTGCCGGCTTGGAGTATCCCGGATGGTTTTTCGTGTCGGTCGATTTTGACTTGGGAAATTACAGGGTTTTCTACAATTTCTGGAGGACTTTCCATACTAGTTGTGATGCCAGCACCCGTCGGGGTTATCTGTCTCGTGGTCTAGAGACAGACCGCCTACGTGAAGTGCTTCTTCAAGGAGTGTGTGACCGTTTACGGTCGTTAAGAAATTTAAGATAACGTGTAAGGGTATGACATAACTTTGTTATGTCGTTCAGGGTCGTTCGAGGCTTTTCTTTGACTGAAAAAACCTCGGCGTTAGATTTCGTGATTTCTAAAATGCGGTCGGCAGATGCAGTTAGTTCACCTAAGGCGTTGTTTTGAAACGAGACCAGCACAGCTTGCACCTACTGAGGGGGTTTGGATAAAAAAAGTTTAAAAAGGCCATTATCGAAGGTTCTTTGGCCGATAACCTCTCTCATTCTTTGCAACAAGTCTGTTGCAGAACCGTGTTGCAGGTCGATGTTATTAAGGAGTTGGCATAACCTTTGTCGATCGGTTAGTTCTCCGCGTTTAAGGATAGGTCGTTTAAGTGTTTTGTAGGGTTCAGAAACATCACTAGGTGTGACACACCTGTTGAATTCGCGCGGTAGTGCCTTGACTACTGCGAGGAATTGTGTTTGCATGTCCTCCACGCCGTGCTCGTAGAAGTCAGCTTCTGTGTAGCAGAACCAGACTTCGATGTTGTCTGACCAGAAGGCCATTCATTGCGATGATGTTGAGGACGTAGTCTTCAGTCATGGTGAAATATCAAGCACGAGAATGAACGAGTGAAATATATATATCCAAAAAATGAGAAAATATAACGATGTATAAAAAAATAATATAAGGCAATAATATACAGAATTCCACAAGGGAACAGACTCACAGTTTTCAATTTGGTGTACCAGATCACATTGGGCTCACTATGAATATGACACAGGTATTCAGAGTTTGACAACGCTTTAACCAGTAACACCTTCTACTATGCATCATACCAACCAAGTGAAATCAAAAGACAGAGTCGAGCAGGTTCGAAAATATATTTGGCAGGCTATCAATATATCGAGAATCGTCTGATCTAATCTAGCTAGCGATTGCAGTGGGTGTTGAGCACGACGTTCGCACTCGTGATCTGGTGTGGATGCATGACCGAAAGCCTTAT